AAGTTCTGAAATACAGAGATACTTCATTTAGCTGGAATGTATTTTTCAAAGTTTTCATTTTCCCTAAGATAATAGTTACTGAAAAAAATATTTCAGAGCTCAAGTTAAAATACTGCTATTAGATCAATCCATGGGTGAGTTAGATAATATTTTTTGAGCTGGGCCCTACCTCTATCTTGGCAGGATTTGAAAATCTCTAATTAGCTGAAGTATTCCAAACTGCACAGATATTATGGTTTTCAAAGAGAGAGCCAAAAGCTTTCTATCATAGGGCTATTGTACAAGAAAGAAACAAAAGGAAAAGAAGGATGGCTTCCCTGCCATAGATCGGGCCATCAGAGAGCACTCGAGCACCTGCCCTTAGAGCCATCCACTGTAGACAGAGGGCACTGCTTAGTGATCTGGCAGTGGTCAAATCATGCTGTTTAGAAATACACACTAAAAAAACTGTTTCTGATCTAGTGATTCCTGTCTAAGAGGTACAGGAGAATTCGGAGGGTTTGTGTCCTAAAGGCATTAGCACATAAACATAATGAAAAGTACAAACTGAGACATGACAACTAAGTTACTTGTTCTATGAATGATAAAACTTGAGTTTAGCAGTAATAGTCTCAATATTTGCAAATCCATAAATTAATATTTATACAATTACAGCATAGGCTTTTTGTAAAACTACATTTTATCCTCAGATATATTTCTGCCATATTTGCTAACATAGTGGGTAATACAAACATAAGGAAAATATAGTTAGTTCTTTCTACCCAGACTTCAAAGTAAGAAAACTGAGTTATAACAAAAAGGCACAGGTCAGTATATACTTTACCCTAAAATATGGAAAATTTCCAGTTTTATAACACAAAATTATATGCTTACCAATTTATTCAAAATATATATCCAGAGAGAACTCTAAAAATTTAAATTACAGTTAAAAAGAAAATTGCAAAAGCAGAAAAAAATCTCAATTCACTTTATTCTGTGCTGACGGATATGCTCTAAAAATTTTAATTCATTTTGATTAATTGTTACTAAACTATCTATAGATATAGACATGGTTGCTGAGAAAATGGAAAGGGCACAGCGGCCCCAGGAATTCACAAGGCATACTTACTCTTGTCACCAACTCAGTATGTGGTGATGAGCAAGCTACTTTTCACTTACAACTTCATCCTCCATGATATAAAGCATGTTCCCTCATGGTCCTTCCGATTCTGAAATACTGCAGAGTTGCTGTAAATGCAGTGCCACGCTAATTCTACACAGAGGTTCTAGAACACCGGCTTGCCTTATGCATTGCAGAAATCCAGCAGAGATGTACAGATGTACAGATTAGAGTGTGAGGTGTAATAAAGAAAATTACAGCGCCACCCCTGAGAAGATTATTTTTTTCTCAGATCCAATGGCAGACAGCATTTCCAACAGTTCTCAGTGGACAGGAACAGAGGAAGAAAGGAGAACACTTCATGTGTCACTCATTTATCCCTGTTTGTTTACATCAGTGCTGGGGACTGAGTAGCACACCTACCCCTTTTGATTTTTCATTTTGAGACAAGATCTCACTGAGTTAGTCAAGCTAACCTTTAACTCACTCTTAAGCCTCTAATAAAGGCCTTCACTTTGTGATCCCTCTGCCTCATCCTCCAACAGCTAGGGTTAGAAGTCTGCATCAAGAGATGCTTCCTTAAAGGAGGCATACATTGAGTCTGGGATTGTGCTACTCTGAGAATAATTTGTAAATTGTCTCTGGATAACATCATGTCTTTTGATAAAAAAAAAAAAAAAAGCTTTTCATCGTCATTACACGATCAATCCACCTAGGTAAAATGAAACCTTCAAAGGGGGATTTTTAGGGTTTCTATTGCTGCAATGAAACACCATGACCAAAAATCACCTTTGGGAGCAAAAAGTTTATTGGCTTGCACTTCCACATTGCTGTTCATCACCAAAGGAGGTTCAGAAAGAAAGTCAAAAAGGGCAGTAACATGGAGGCAGGAGCTGATACAGAAGTCATGGAGGAGTGCTCTTACGGGCCTGCTTTCTAATAGAACCCAGGACCACTACCCAGAGTGGCCCTACCCACAATGGGCCCTCCCCCATTGATCACTTGTTGAGAAAATGCCTTACACCTGAATCTCATAGAGGTATTTCTTCAACTGAGACTCCTTCCTCTCTGATGACTCTAGCTTGTGTCAAGTTGACACAAAACCAGCCAGTACAGGAGGTGTCTTCTCAAGGGACTCTATTACCCAGCCAACCATTTAGCAAGGATTCAGGGCCCAGGGAGTGCCTCAAATGTACCAGAGTGGAGTGATTCAAGAGCAGAATGACAAGGACTCCTGCCTCCAGGAATCCAAGGTCATTCCATGAAATGATCAATTGAAAAAATTAGAGAAGTTATCACACAGTGAATGCTGAGCTCAGTGCCAAGGACAGTGCTGGTAAATCTGAGAGGTGATGAACATTGTACACAAAGGCAGCTGCCACAGTCCTGACCAGAGTAGATGTGATGAGAGGCAGGAAGAGAAAGCAGCTGGGTGCCTCTCTGAGAAGTCATGCTATTTTTTGTATGCCCAGCAATTTCTTCACTCCATCCAACCCTCAGAGTTACTGCCTTCAGATCCGGAGAAACACACATTACACTCCACCATTACTCTTTACACATTACACGCTACCTCTGAATGTCCTTTATGAAAGTATTTTTAAAGCTCCTTGAGAGCATGAGCTGCGTACAGTGGCACAATACAATGGCCATTCGCAAGTCCAGACTGTCACTCTAAGCTGAACATGAGAGAAAAGTTCTCTTTTGGTTGAAGACAAAGGGTAATTAAGTCTTTGTTTCCTCTGACGGCGCTTTCTGAATAACTGATACTAATCTTTTAAATGTTTGGAGTTGTTCCTAAGTTAGCAAGTCAGAATACACAAATACACACTATGCACCTTCACTGCATCCTGAAGTTACAATTCTCTCAAGACAACTTTAATTTTGAGACAGCAAAATGAATCAGGGGGTAAAGGTTCTTGCTGTCAAATTGAGTTGACAATGTATATTCAGTCTCCAGGTTCCACATGGTGGAAGGAAAGAACGAACTCCCTCTAGTAATGCAATATCAAATTAAAAACAAATGATTTTGTGATGAAAATAGGGCCCTGAGTTAAAGAGCACAATGGGGGGGGGGGGTATATGGGAGGATTTGGAGAGAGGAAAGGGAAGGAAAAATGATGAAATGATATTGTAATCTCAAAAAAATTAAAAAAAACATAAAATCCTAATCTTTGATAAAGATAAGGATGCTCATTTGTTAAGAACATAAATATGTTCTGCTCTTCATAAATATGTTCTGTTCTGCTCAAGGCAGTGGTCTCTGCCTTGAAGATGAACACAGTAGATGTCTTCCAGTCAAACCCAGCCTACTGTGCCTTTGGTTTGGTATATCAACATTTTATAATTACTTTTTCTTTTTTCATTATGAGATATTGACATCCCTGCAGTCATGGTTATCTTTAATATCAACTCAACCTATTGCTTTTTCAAATCTACTGTTTTTTAAAAAGAACACAATATGAGAATGATTATTAAAAAAATTGCAAAGATACAGAAAGAAGACTTCAAATTAAGACTTTGAAGTCTGAGTGATATTCATGAATTTTAGAAACTGAAGTTCATTACACTTTCCTTATATTTCCTACTTAGAGTTCAGTTTCCCATTAAAGACCAGTTGTTTTTCAACTGAGTAACCCTTGCCATGAACATGATCTCAGGGAAGACAAGTCCCTAGAGAAAAGCTGGTTCTGAGCTCTAGACTATAATTACTAATCCAACACCATGCTCTCCATGCATATAGAACTGCTTCTTTACCTCAGGATATGTATCTATAACCATAAACTCAGTTGTGATTATTTGATATTTGCATCCTCCATTAAACTGCAAACCCCAGGAAAAGTGGAGAACACAGTTGTGCTCATTGAATTATAACACCAGTCCCTAATTTAATGAACATTCTAAAAATTCCATAGTGACCACTTATTTTGTGATGGATGACTGAAATAACACATAGCAAAAAGTTCAAAACTCTGTTCTCACATGCATGATCATGAACAAATACAGTAAACCTTCTCTAACTCTCGGTTGCTACATTCAGAAGAGACCCTTCAATATGATGCTAAGAGTTTTGTTATTGTTGTTGTTGCTTTGTTTTTGTTTGTTTGTTTTTAGGTTTCCATTGTAGCCAACCAAGGGAATACCAGCTGTCAAGGATATAAGAATGGTTCAATGGGAAACTAGCAGGGAAGGAGTTCCCAGGGTAGAGTGATTTGCCAAAGAAAACAGCAAGAATGGATCCTAGTTCTGAGAAAAATGATTACTTCTAAAATTGATTTATTCTTTGGGAAAGCGTGCAGGTAAAGAAGTTTTTTATAGAAACCCTCCTTTCCTTCCCTGAATCCTGTATGTGAATTTAATACACACTGAGTTTATGAACTGTCTTCTCCATCCAGCAGATTTTGTCTTTTAAACTTATATGTAGTTTATTTTTCAGAAATTTACCAACAACTTAAAAGCTTCTTTGCCTGCCAGATGTGTTTGAGCAAACCAGCAAATTTTAGTGAAGGCATTGTTCCTTTGAAAGCACAGCATCTTAAAGTTCTAGGCTGGCCTTAGTATCTGCAAAGCAATGGTAGCTCCAGAAGAGGGCATCAGATTCTCTGGGACTAGAGTTACAAACAGTTGTAAACCTACCATGTGGGTGCTGGGAATTGAACCTCAATCCCCTGGATGAGGATCTTAACCACTGACCCATCTCTCCAGCCTCTATACATGTGTAACTCAGGCTGGCCTCACACTTGTGATCTTCCTCCCTCTGCTTCATCAGCATATGCACTGCCCCAGCCAGCTGTATCTTCTAAATCAGTCTGTTTTGGAGAATGTTGAACTCATATAAATTAATTTGTAAAAATGAAGGTTCCAGAAATGGGTAGGGAGGAATGCTTTTAATGGCTGAAGGTAGACATTTCAAAGGGTTTTCAAATCCCACCTACAGATAAAACTACCATACTCACATCAGTGCCAGGCTCCTAGAATACCATGAAAAGAATAGTATATAAACCCAGTTCTTGCACACCACTTTGTAATCAAAACCATCATTTGGATAGCCTTTCTCCCAGACTCAGGTGAGGCAAGTAGTTCACTTTGGGAGAAAAAAAATTAAATTAGCACCATAAAACCTGATAATCAAAATAGTATTTCAATACAACACTTTATGATCAAAAAGCAAAATTCATGAACAAGTTATAAAATTTTTAATAAGGAAGGATCTGTATTATTGATTTTTTTCTTTTGCCTTAGGCTCCATACAGTTCAATCCACTTTCTCACTTCCTTCTTATAAAAGACACCAGGCATATGCACAATGTGCAAAGGAGGCAAATATATGCTTGCTACATCACTGAGCTAGGGAAGCACTAGGGTGTAAGCCCCCCAGACCACAGCATCGAGACTCAACAGACACTGCTTCTCAGACAAGGAGTTAGGTTGTCTTAGGTTGTCTCTGTTTCTTACTAGATCTGGTAATTTACAAAGAAAAAACATTTATGTAGCTTACAGTTCTGTAGGTCCAAGAGCATGGCACCAGCATCTGTGTGTGGCTCCATAGGAAAAAGATGGAAAGGAAGCAGGAGCAAGTTCTTACAGAAGAGCTGAAATAGACAGAAAAGCAACACAGAAAGCCAATTTACAAGCATACATACATACATATATACATACATACATACATACATACATAATACACAAACAAATATACATGAATATATATAATCCCTCCCAAGGGCTGGGATTAAAGCTGTGCACCACCACCATCCGGCCCCAATTTACCTTAATAACAACCCTCTAAAGGATAACTCACCCAGAGGTAACTACTTTAATCCCGTTGTGAGTGTAGAACTCCCACAACCTAATTACCTCTCAAAGATCTGAACAACACTGTCTTATTGGAGGCTAAGCCTCAACACGAGCTTTGGTGACGCCAAATCATATTCAAACCACAACAGTTCCTAAAGGCCAATAAAAGGAGGCTTTCTCGCTGGAGCACGGGCTATGCTTTTCTCTGTTGTAACAATTATCACTCTGCACACAGAAATGACAAAGTCCTGTATGTGGTATTCACTTTTCTCCAAGAACTCACTCCACTTTGCATAGGAAAAAAAAATGCCCGCGTGAAACAGTGAAATTATCCTCTTTTAACACCCCTGTAGTAATAAGAACTACAGAAATACAATACAGTTCAGTATCTATCATTCAAAGAGCAAATGCAGGGAGATGGAATGAAAGGAAGGGTGCAGTGAGCTATCTTTGCTGAGCACTGGCAAAATAAATGGTTTCAGAGAAGGTTCTGGGCTTCGAGTTTTAGTTATTCATTAGCTCTTATGCCTTAAGGTCAGTGGAGGGGACATGCCATCATGTGCTGTAAATCAGATAGGGTGGCAAAGGGCGAGCCTGCACTTCCTACTAACATAGCAGGGAAAGAAGAAAAGGTTTCTTAATCAACACAAATTGGAGAATACTTCTAGAACTGAAATGAATCTGTTTTAAAAGTAAACAAGGAAGGGAGCCCCTCCTGAATGAGCACTTGCATTGCACAGCAGCTGTGATCAAACTAGATACTTCAAGCCTTTGCGGGACTGATACCAAATATCTAGCAGGTACTATTTCCCTGCTCCTGGTGCCTCACCACTACTCTTTCCCAGTGACAAGCTCAATATCCATCCTGTAACAGTGAAGACCATCATTTTCTTAACCTACTAGAAGATTCATAATAAAATTAAGGACCATTTCAAGATAAAGTATCAAACATTTTAACAGACAGTAGGTGGGTGGTCTGTGGATGAAGATACTGAAAAAACAGTCAGTAGGAACTTTGCTGTTCTTATCCACCTAAGTATCTTCACTGTACAGAACACTTGCACAGAGCAGGCACTCAATAAATACATTCCACACAATAAATAACTGTGTGAGTATGTGGACTCGCTGATGGACTTCTGAGTGTTACCAGATTCGGTTAAAGACTGCAGTTCATATAACCTCCTCCCTAGGACCAGCGTCCAGAGAGACAAGGCCCCGAGCCCAGAGTTCAAGGCTCACATGACCAGCCTACTGACAACCTCTGGAAAGGAGCCCCAGGGCTCCGTGCCCGTGCTAGGTGGTGCTCACCTGGGGCCAAGCCAACCCCAAAGGTCTGCCAATCAGACCCCGAGCAGAGCAGATCCTGGAGGTGGCTGACCCAAAGGGCCCTGAGCCCACCCTCAACGAGCCAACGGCCGCGCAGATAGGGCGGGCCGTCGGGGCAGCCGGCCAATGGCAGCGCGGCGGGGCTGGAGGGCGCGCCCCTGCCTCAGCGCCAGCGAGCGGCCCACAGCCCGGCCCGACCGACGATGGAGCCGCCCGCGGCCCAGGCGTGCGCAGCGGCGCTCCGGGGCGCGCTCTACCTGCTGCTCGTCGCGCTGGTGGTCCGCCAGCTCCTGAGGCAGAGGCGCCCGGCAGGCTTCCCCCCGGGCCCGCCGCGGCTGCCGCTCGTCGGCAACATCTGCTCCCTGGCCACGTCGGCCGAGCTCCCCCACGTCTACATGAGGAGGCAGAGCCGGGTGTACGGCGAGGTAGGCCGCCACGCGGACCTTCCTCCGGTCAGGAGCCGCAGCCAGGGGGCCCCGCGGGCCTGCCGCCCCTCGGGGGAACCCCGCTCCGAGGGCCGTGCCTCCAACCGGAAGCCCCCTCACCGCTACCGCTTCGGCTTGAGTTTCCCGCCCGCCGACGGGCAGTGCTTCTGCGCTTGCGCTATGTGGCCTGTAATCTGTCGGACGTGCCTTCCGTCAAGGTGCCCGGGACAGAAACTTCTCGGCCTTGTGCGTTCTGAGCTTGAGGGAAAGTCGAGACCCCGTGAGTTTCTAGGACAGAGTTAGTGGTTAGTATTGCAGGTTGCTGTTTGAGCCGTCTTGTAAAGAATGTAACACTAAAAATAAAAATCGCCTTTTAGTTCTAATTCCGAACCCGAAGTTTTCCTCGTCAGGGTAACGATACCCACAAACAGTAAAAAGCTACCCAAATGTATTACCAGTTACGTATACTTTCGGTTAGTATGTGTGAAAGGTATTTTCATTTAGTAGTATTGGGAGTCTGGCTAGGTAAGTGCTCTACCACTGAGTACAATAGAAACTTACTGTGCCTACAAATGTAAAATTGTCTTTAAACCAGTTATTTGGAATACATAAATATTTGAGCTGAAAGGAATTACTTACTATGAATATTCATATAAGACGAGTGATGTAAGTCTGTTCCAGTAAGCTAAAATGAAAATATAAGTGTGTGGAAGACTGCCATCAAGGAATCAATTGATTAGATTCAATTGATTAGAAATTGGCATAATAAATTAATTTTGTTTCTGGTACACTGGGTAAACCAGGCATTGTTCACAATGATGACAACTACACATCAAATAAGGCTAACCTGTGCTGAAAGCTGCTAAAACTGCAAGGAACAAAACTGAAAAGGATGTATGCACTGCAGAGTAGTTGCTAGGTTTAATACCCACCAAAAATTAACTCTTTGTAAGCCACTGCATTTGATCTTTATTCTAGTTGTTAAACACCCCTGAAGCTCTCCCATTATCCTAGAGATATTTCCCAATTCTTACTGTGTCAAAATTAGTATGAGTTGTTAAAATACTAACCATATTTTGTAGAATAAAGACTGTTATCTCCTGTGCTTCAGAAAAGTTGTAGGGCGCAGTTCACAGGATTTATTCTTTTACTGTCTCCCCTTTAATTTGAGCTGTGTAGTCAAATAAAAAGTAAATAAATCTGAACTTTAAAATAACTCCTACTTTTGTGCACTCTGAGTTGAATCCTTTGTAATTTTTGAAAGGAAAACAGCAGTGCCCAAGATTCATATTTATTTTTAAGCAATCTTATATAGAAATGTGCTGCAGCATAAATTGCCATTTCTTTGGAGATACATTCTTTATTGTTTTAACTTCTGCTGTGATTAGATTCTTAATGTAGATTTTGAGCAGCATTCCATAGCTGGCAAAGTTGATATAAGTGGATTTGTCAGACTCTTTCAGGCAATACTCTAAAAGGCAATAAAGGTAATTTTTTGCAATACAGCCAACAGAATTGACAGTTTATTTGTTTTATGACAAACTTATATTGAGAACTTATTCAAGGCACTGAGTGGGGTTCTGTGGAGAATTTTAAAATGAAAAAAATAAGTCATTTTAAAGTCATTTATAATTTAGAAGCCAGGCAATGTGATAGTCACTTATCAGCGTTAACACTCTGTACATTTGTTTGTTTTTAGTACTTAACCCATGGTGTTGTAATGATATGCTTAAATGTTTCTGCCAAATTCATCAATTCAGCATAGGTGCATCAGTTATCATCTGCCATGAACTGTCAGGAATGCTGGCAATATGGTAGTGAACAAAACAGGGATCTCTGTCACTAGGGAGCATATATTCCGTCTGGGGAAAGACAGACAAAATAAATATAAGTAAATTATATATTAAAGTTGTACGAGCTGTAACATGAGCTAAATTTAGAGTACTGGAGATGGGCACTACTTTAGGGTTATGACAGGAGTAAAATTAGGCCAGTGAGGAGGTGGTTGTCATATCTATTACAAGGGTGAAAAGCAGGTGGCTTGAATCAGAGTATAGAAGTTGTGAAAGCCAGCCTTGCTTTACTGAAACAAAGTATTTGAGATAAGAAATTTACAAAAAGGAAAGATCATTGTGTCTTGGATGTTTCCTACAGTTTATTGACATCATTGCTTTTGGAACTGTGGTGAAGCAGTGTGTCCTAGTAGGAATGTTTGGCAAAGGAGACTGCTTACATCATGCAGCCAAGACATAAAAAGGAGAGGAGAGGAGGGGCCAGAAGAAATCTCTCCCTAGTTCCCTTAAGACTTCTACCCTTTCCCTGTAGGACTAAGCTAAAATCTGTATCTTTAACATGTAAGCCTCGGAGGGAAATTTAAGATGTGAAGTGATAAGAAATTTGGTCAAATTCTTTTATAACTTCAAAGTAGAAACAGTATACAGGATGAGCTGCTGGATTTTGGGTTGGACAGAAAATGAGTCAACCTGGGTCTCGGACCTTCCTTAGACTTCTCTTGTGATCCAGCACCTCATAGAAGCAACTTAAGGAAGGATTTATCTGGGCTTGTGCAGAAGGCAGTTTATCATGGCAGTTGGTGGGTCAGCTTCTGGTGTCAGGAGTTTGCAGTGGCTCCTCACTTTGTACCCACTAGGCCCAGAATAGGACCCTCACTGCCATGTTCCAAGAACCCACTACCTCTAGGTAGTCCCCACTTCCTAAAGGTTCTATTATTTCTCAAAATAATATTGGCAGCTGAGGGCAAAGTGTTCAACCACAAGTCTATGGGGGAACACTTCACATTCAAACAGGACCTGAACACCTTGAAGGAAAGACAGATAGTGTGATCATTAAATGGGATAGTACAAATTTCTGTGTTGAGCTAGCTTTCTAGAAGGCATGAGTTTTTGGTGTATTTCTGTTTACATCACTGCTAGCACAGTTGTCTCATAAAAGACATTTTAAAACTGCTCAATAAATCAAAGATTGAATAAACATAATCTTGGACCCTTCCATAGATCAAAACAGTTTAAGAGTAAGTTTTCACAGTTTAGTCGGTGAAAATTTACTAAAAATTCTGAAGTATAATATACAACTAGATCAGCTAAATTTTCCCCAGTTCTGCTCTCTGAACAGACAACTATTTCAATTTCTTGAGTAAAATAGATTATATAATAGCTTTCTTAAGTGATGAGTCCTTTTTTATTAATCTTCAGCAACCACAATCAGAAGATTTTCTTTGAAATATATTCTCCCTCAGTTCTGCCTTCATATTAACATACTTTCCAACAGCAGGGTCTTAAATCCTTGCAAAATGATGAATTTGAGTTTTTTTTGTTTTTGTTTTTTTCTCCTGCATCAGTACCACTTCCTACATTTCACTGAATACAATTCTGGGGAAAGACTCTTCTTTAATAACACTAATACTGAAAGGTCTCTCATTTTCTTATCTGGTAGTAATTCCCTTTATGCTAAAAAAAGAAAAAAAAAAAAAGCCCTCTTCCATGGCCACTGTGAACTAATGCCACTGTGTACAAAATCTATATCCCTTCCTCACCCCCAAGATTCTAAATGTACATACTTCTCTAGTCCAGGGTTCACCCTTGGACTAAAGACTCTGATGGGACTGATTTCTGATGAGACTAATTGCAGTTCCTCCTGGTAATCTTTATCACTTTTGCTGACCCACTCCTGAAGAGCTTTTGTTATCAGCTAAGACTTCCTGTTTTCTTCAGAAGCAGAATATACCACGATTAAATCTGCCTTAGTTGTTTGCACAAAGATAAGGCTCATCAAGGTATTTTATCTGTAAAATACCTTGGGAAATTCCTGAGAGGTTAGTGATAAGCAATCTTTGGGACTTAGTGATAAATAAGCTTTTCTTAGGTTAGGCCTTTACTTTAACTTGGCTAAAATACAATTCAGGAGTGACTCTGTAAGTGAACCTGAGGTGAACATATGGTGTCTTGGCTAATTTTTATTGTTAACTCAACCTAGAGGCACCTGGGAAAAGGAAAGGTCAATTGAGTAATTGTCTCAGCTTATCCCAGGACCTCAAAAAAGATTGTTTTGTACACCGGGGGTAGGGCACAATCCCTAGTGTGATGGCGAATTTTGTCAACTAGACACTATAGTAATTTGGGAAGAGAAAAACTTAATTGAGAAAAAGAACCCACCAGATTGGCCTGTGAGCAAGCCTGTAGTACATTTTCTTGACTGATGATTGATGTGAGAGGACCCAGCTCACTGTGGGCAGTACCACCCCTGGGCTTGAGTGTTGTAAGAATGTAGAACAAACTATGGCCAGTAAGCAACAGTTCTCCATACCCTCTGCATCTGTTCCTGTCCTACTGGAATTCCTGCTCTGGTCTCCTTCAGTTATGAACAATGATGTGGATGTGTAACAAAATAAACCCTTTCCTCTTTAAGTTGCTTTTAGTCATGTGTTTTATCACACCAATAGAAACCCATCTAAGAAACCTGGTAGGTGTGTATAGGCTATATACCTAACCTAAGAGACAGAACCAGAGATTGAGCCAATAGCAGAGTTCCTCCATGGTTCCTCTCTCCAGATTCCTGCCCTGCTTCCATCATTGATGGACTGTGATCTGGAAGTGCAAGCTGAAACAAGCCCTTTTCTCTAAGTTGTTTTTGGTCATGGTGTTTATGACAGCAAAAGAAATCAAACTTGAACATGTGGCAAGCAACTCCAGCACGGTAGAGGATGGATTATTCTGCTTTATTTTCCCCTATGTATACATGGTGAATATCACTCCTCTAAAGTTAGGTTCCCTTAGAACCTGGGCTTTAGAAAGGCAAATACAATTAACCATATGCTTAAACTCCAAAGTTGTCTTTTGGACTTTTCTATCCTCTCCCCCGACTTCAAGCTGGTATAATAATAGATAAATTTATCTATTTACAAATAGGTAAATTTATCTATTTACAAATAGATAAATTATAAATGGTATGATAATAGATAGTTACTCGTTTGTCTTCGAAGTAAAATGAGATTCTTACATAATGAATATTTTGACATGGAATGATTCCTAATAGAGTATCTAAATCAAATCTATTTTCTGTGGCAATACTGAAGTCCAAAAAGTTTGTTTTGCCCATTACCTTAAATCTATTTAATTGCAAACCTTAAAGTAGAATACAGGCCTCCTGTGTTTCGTACTTTTTACACTATACCTTATAAGATGGTCCCATGTATGCAGTAGTATAAATTAATCACGCCGTCTAAACATTGTAAAGTATCAAATCCATACGTTTTTAAGAAGTAGCAAATACTAGGAGGGACAGGCTTAGAAAATGTGGATTCCATGGTTGTTTCTCTGTATATTTTGCTGTCTCAATGTTGTTTTTCTTCTCAAAGATTTTCAGTTTAGATATTGGAGGCATATCAGCTGTGGTTCTAAATGGCTATGATGTAGTAAAAGAATGCCTTGTTCATCAAAGTGAAATTTTTGCAGATAGACCATGCCTTCCTTTGTTCATGAAGATGACAAAAATGGGAGGTATGCTTATTTTCATCTATTCAATGAACCTATTTTAAATCACATTCCTTCTTATTTTAAATAATTTTAGTGTAGACAGATTGTTTTGTTACTTTGTGAAAACTGGATTTGAGGAGCCATCAGACTGCATTCAATAATGTTTTAGACCATTATGTGCTGGTTTTGTTGCCAATTCTAAGAAACATAAGGAATGTTTTGAAGAATTAGTACTTAATATGTACTGAAACAATTTAGGTGTGCACAGCACGCATGCGCACACACAATGACAGACTTTCACGCACAAGCTTACAGAAACTAAAGCAGACTTTAACTACTCATCATTATGCTGTATACACTGAGAGCTGTAGAGTTTATACAAAGGACAGACAGTCCTATAGAATGATAAGATTTGGATGACTACATGTTATAGGTCCTATAAGATAAGATTTGGATGACTACATATTCAACAAGGGAGAAAAGCTGAAGTTGACGCAGTCAAGGAGAAAGCAGGAATAAAATGGCCAAAATAAAATATTGACATCAGATAGAACTGGTATCTGATTTTTTTGTTTTACAGTAATGGTGTTCTAAATTCTGTAATGGGACCTTCATACTTACTTTAAAAACTTAGTATCTTAAACAAGCTAAATGGCAGGTAATAATAGCATTATTATTCATGGTTTTCTCTCTTTAATTACATGAATGTTTCTACTTTGACAAGTCAGGGCTGCTCGTGACTGTGGCATAATTACCTCCTACATGCTTTTAACAGAAGAAAATTTGTGTTGTAAAAGTCTAGTTTCTTGGGACTGGAAAGTTGACTCAGCAGTTAAGAGCGAGCACTGGCTGCTTTCCCTAGGACCCAGGTTCAATTCCCAGCACCTACATGGCAGCTCACAAATGTTTATAACTACAGTTCCAGGGGATCTGACACCCTCATACAAATATACATACAGTCAAAACACCAATGTACATAAAATAAAAATAAACAATCTAGTTTCTTTTAGACAAAAAACTTCTGATTTGGAGTATTTATTTAATCAAAAAATAAATCGTCTGTAAAATATATCTTTTATAACTTATGTGTATGAGAAAGTAATAAATAGATTTATGTAGGCCTAGTTCATCTGTATTTGATTACAAAAGCCTGGACAATTTCTTGTGGTAACAGAATGAGAATTATAGGTCTTTTATAGCAGTCATTTCATGAGGAATAGACCAGCTTTATCTAATGTTCTTTGGCTTCTGGGCAGCATCACCTGGGACCCGATCATGTACTTAGATAATTGGGAGGTAAAATCACCAACTGTCTATCTTTGAATTTTTTCTTTTATTTCATAGCATTTCAAGTACAGAAAAGTATGGCACACACAAGATTTTTAATACTTTCCTTACAGGTTTACTCAATTCCAGATATGGCCGAGGATGGATTGATCACAGAAGATTGGCTGTTAACAGCTTTCACTATTTTGGAAGTGGCCAAAAATCTTTTGAGTCTAAAATCTTAGAAGAAACTTGGTTTTTAATTGATGCTATTGAAACATACAAAGGTAGACCTTTTGACCTCAAGCAAGTATTAACAAATGCTGTTTCAAACATAACCAATCTGATCCTTTTTGGAGATCGATTCACTTATGAAGACACTGATTTTCAGCATATGATTGAGTTATTTAGTGAGAACGTGGAACTAGCTGCCAGTGCTCCAGTCTTACTTTATAATGCATTTCCATGGATTGGCATCTTACCTTTTGGAAAACATCAAAAGCTATTCAGAAATGCAGATATGGTCTATGATTTCCTCTCCAGACTTATTGAAAAAGCTTCTGTCAACAGAAAGCCTCATTTACCTCAGCATTTTGTTGATGCCTATTTAGATGAGATGGATCAAAGTGAAAGTAATCCTTTATCTACATTCTCCAAAGAGAATCTAATTTTTTCAGTGGGTGAACTCATCATTGCTGGAACTGAAACTACAACCAATGTGCTACGCTGGGCAATTCTGTTCATGGCCCTTTATCCTAATATTCAAGGTGAGGATACCTTGATCTCAGGGTCTCTCCTCAGGGGTCATATATACTTTTAGTGTTATAACCAAGTATAAAGCAGTTTTAGGAGCTACAACTGTACTAGTCAAGAAGGGAAATATTTCACACTTCTAATTTTCAAATCTAATATTTTAATGCAAATTTAAGAAAGGAAGGAAAGGAAGAAGAAAAGAATAAAAAGCATCTGAAGGGTAGGCATGGTGGTAATATTCCTCTAATCTGAGAACTCAGGAGACCAAGACAGGAGAATCTCAAGTTCAAGACCACTTCAGCCTACATAGTAAGTTTAAAACCAACCTGGGATATATAGAATGGCAGTATCTTTAAAAAACTTTTTTAAATGGACCTTAATATTCATCTTTTATAAAGAATGATAAAGGTTGGGTATCTAGAAGCTGCAAAGCTCAGATCTGAACTCTGCTTTTTTCCTATTCAGGTCTAATCTTCCATTATTTTCCTTGCTGACAGTGATGCTATTCTGATGCTAGGCTGATTATACATTTATTTATAATTCTTTTTTGAGGTTACCCAAAATGTTGGTTCTTACTAATAGAATATTTGAGGGGGTATATAATAAATTCATGTAAATACAAGATGATGAAAAATTCAAATCTAGGTAGACCTATATTCCGTTGATTATGGGTTATCATTTGTTGTAACCCAAAGAGAAGTAAGTTTACATCTAATTTAACAAATAACATAATAACTTTAACATGTCTCTCTGACAGGACAAGTTCATAAAGAGATTGATTTAATTATGGGTCACAATAAGAGGCCTTCTTGGGATGACAAGTGCAAAATGCCTTACACTGAAGCAGTTTTACATGAAGTTTTAAGATTCTGTAATATAGTTCCACTGGGGATTTTCCACGCAACCTCTGAAGATGCAGTTGTACGTGGTTATTCCATACCTAAAGGAACAACAGTCATTACAAATCTTTATTCTGTTCACTTTGATGAAAAGTACTGGAAAGACCCAGACATGTTCTATCCTGAGCGATTTCTGGACAGCAGTGGATATTTTACTAGAAAGGAAGCTTTGATTCCTTTTTCTCTAGGTAAGAAAACACAAGTATATAATTTTAAAGTATAACAATGACTCATTATTATTGCCATCTAAGTTTGAAGCAACCTGCTCTAGAGTAGACAATTCTGAACACATGCCATTAATTCTTTTTTTTTTTTTTAGTATTTTTTGAAGATATTTTTCTCACAAAATAAATCTCGATCAGTTTTCCCTCCCTTATTCTTCCCTGTTCCTCTTTACCTCCCCTCTAAGCTCATCCAATCCCTTTCATTTCTCTCATTAGGAAAAAAAAATAGGCTTCTACAGGATAATTAAAAATATAACAAAGTAACATATAATAAAACAGAAATTATCACATCATAGTTAAACAAACATTGCAGAGTTGGAGAAGAGCTCAAGCGAAGGCACAAGAATCAGAGACCCACTCATACATACACTCAGAAATCCTATAAAAATACTAAATTGGAAGCCATAGTATATATGCAGAGGACCTGGTGCAGACCTGTGCAGGCCCTGTGCATTGTCAGTCTCTTGAGTTCACATGAGCTTTGATCATATTTGTTTAGGAGGCCTTGTTTTCTTGGTGTCCTTCCATGCACTTAAAAATAACATTAAGAGGAAAGAATGGTTTCTTTAGAGTGATGAGCACCTGTTTCTATTCAAAGCATGCTTTAGTTAGCTAAATAAAGCTAAAGTTTTTGAGAAGCTGTGGCTGGCTACTTACAAAACTTTTAGCATGTGAACTGGGAGTTGTCAAAGTTCTAGAGCTAAAATTCAAGAACAACTAAAACTTGGAGAAAGGAAAGAAAACTCCAAGTTAAGCTAGAATCTCACATTAGTGCCTTCTAGTTTATTATACCATCTCCAACTAAATCTCCAACCTATTTCAAAGCTTTTGCTTTTGCTTTGAAATAGGACATGAATCACAGAGCTTGGTAGATAGACTGTCTTTATTACTGAGTAAAGAACCCAGAAGGTCAGTTGAAATGGGCTTCCCTTGAATCAATAAGAACAAAATGTCACAGCTCAAAGACCTATATAATATGTCTTGTGCTCTACTGCATTATGCAAGATAAGTCAGAGATGGAACCAAAATCTTTAAAATCCATGATTTGATATAAGGAAATAGAGGAATATGTTTTTGCAATGAAGTTCTAGTTTCTAATCTTTGAGATTTGAGAAACTTCTCTCATGATGTCTTCTAACCTAAATTCCAAGTTTCCTGAATAGCATCCAAATATTAGATGTTGATTTTTGTAAATGGTCTTTAAACTTACTTGCTTTTTTTGTTCAGGGAGAAGACACTGTCTTGGAGAACAGCTGGCTCGGATGGAAATGTTCTTGTTTTTTACATCACTGCTTCAGCAATTTCATCTGCATTTTCCACATGAACTAGTTCCAAACCTGACACCCAGGTTGGGCATGACATTGCAGCCACAGTCCTACCTCATCTGCGCAGAAAGACGCTGAGAGTGCACAAATGTGTTGAGGTATAACCGGGTTGAGTCAACAATGATGTTTGGGCCAAAAGTGAACACAAGATACATTGTTTAAAATAGTGCTACAGCAGTTAGAAGCATTAGCTGTTATTTTTTTTTTCTAACTTCCATGAATTCTTATTGTAAAATGTATTGAGTAACACAAAGGTGCGGGTGTTATGTAGATACTAAGAAGGGCCATGGATTTTCTAAACAGAGCTTTTGTTTAGTTTAAGGTTTCTCTGATCTGGCTCCATCCTGAGGAATTTTGATTCCAAATGGTTTTCTTTATGATTAGGTGTTATGATTCCATACTGTGGTATCAGTCCAGGACTAAAGAAGAAATAATCCACACAAATGTATTTTGACCACAGAAGTATTTTAGATAGGATTGACAATGGAAAGACTCTACATTTAATATAGACCCTTCCAGGGCTTTCAGATATTCCTCTCTACTATGTATTTATAAGAATTGTGTCATTCTTCTTATAAACAGGAGTTTCTGTGATCCCTGAGCATTCATCCTTACAGCAGCAGTCCAGCATATAGGAAACACAGTGTTCAGTTGGGATAAAAACCACTCATAGCTATTGATTCTTTGTGGACACACTTTCTTGGCACCACTTCTTTCTAAAACCAGTCACAGAGCTCAAAGACTCAAACATCTTATCTTACTGAGGTCTTAGTTCCATAGATTAGCCTATTTTTTCCAACAATATTCCAATCCAAAATCCTGCTATAGAGAAAGGGTAACTTGTAAATTGGGACACATGAGAATGATGGAATGCTATTACTAATTATACCAAGACAAATGATATATTATCACAGGCTAAAACAAACTGGAATGTATACTTACTCATTTATAGCTATTTTTCATTATTATTTCTTCTAAAGTTATTCAAAGAGCCCACATTCTTCTAACTTATTCTGTGAGGAGTTGCAGTCTTAGAGCAATTAAAAATAGCAATGGCATCTGGGCACGATGCACATACCTGTAATCCCAGCACTGGGCAAGGCAAAGGCAGGCAGATCTCTGTGAATATGAGGCCAGCCTGGTCTGCAAAGTGAGCATCCAGGACAGCCAAGGCTACACAGAGAAACCCTGTCTCAAAAAACATGTAAGTAAATAAATAAATAGATAGCTAAATAAGATAACAATGGCTGTTATGATGAATATGGATCGGACTGAAGAAAAGGCTCAACAGTTAAGAGCACATACTATGCTTGCAGAAAGGACTTGAGTTTAGTTCCCACTGCCCACATCTGATGGGTTACAACTGCCTATAATGTAAGCTCTAAGGGAATCCACTGCTTTTGGCATCCATGGGTATTTCCACTTTATGGGCATACACACACACACACACACACACACACACACATATACATAATTAAAATAATACAAATAAACTTTTTAAAAAGTAAAAGCAGGCAGATTATTGTGAGTTTGAGGCCAGCCTGGTCTACAAAGCAAGTCCAGGACAGCTAGGGCTACTACACACAGAGAAACCCTGTCTCCTAAAACCTAAAAAAAAAAAAAGGAAAAAGACATGATTTAACCTTAGTTAGCATTAAAATGTATTAAGATATTTTTAGTTCAAAGAAAAAGAAAATCCTGTGCAATAATAATAATAAATTGAAATTTAGAGGTAATATGAAAGGATTAAGGTTGGAATAGCATAGAAGTTTCATGGTTTAATTAAAAACCCCTATTTCTTCCCATCAATCTTTTGCTTTCCAAATTATAACAACTTTACCCAAAAGCTAGTTTACACGAGTACATGTGCTTCACATATTGCCACATAAAGAGCTCAAGCTTGGTTTCTGGGAACACAATGGGAGTTTTTCCTGTAACCCCATAAACTCTTCCTCATGGTAAAAAGAGCATGAGTCACATGTTCAAACATTAATTTAAAACTGTTTTGGGTTTTCACTTCCCCAAAGTATATGTGCTACATGAGAGTGGAATAGTGGAATAGAAGAGGATCCACAAATCAAGAAACCAGTTACAATACCCACTTTGTCTGCTTTTACTACTTTCTGACCTAACTTCCTGAATCTTAACAGATGTACTATGACAGGTTGCTCTTCAGTCTTTGTTCTTCAACATAGCAAAAATTTTCACACCCTTAGACCTCTTCCTTACTATAATTTCTTATAAAATCTATACTCTGGGGATTCTACAGGCTTGGCAGTCTTACTGAATAAGATAACTTAGTAAATTGGATTGTGGTAAAAATTAAGTAGGCTTTGTTCTTTTGAGTAAGGCTACCACTGCTTTTAGTATGGACAGGAATTCCATACAGCTATGCAAGATTCTATTTTTGTTTACCTATCCCTTAGGACAGTTTTGTAATTTTTCTTTCATCTATATAAACTATTAAAGGCAGAAGAGCCTTAATCTCACTGCCCTAATTGTATAGATAAGACCAAATAATATGAAGTCTTTACAGAGTTAGCTGAGTAAATGTAAATTGGACTACTCTACCTTTTAAACACTGTAAAGATTAGATAATGAAGCAAACCAATGCTTTGATTGCATAGAGGAAATACCTGAAACACAGGATGGAGCTTGGCATGATAGTACACGCCTGTAATCTCCGGTGAAAATGGGAAGATCAGGAGGTCATGGCCAGCCTGACATACAGTTTTAGGCTAGCCTGGAGTATACAAGTCTTACCACAAAGGAGCAATTTCTTTTAAATGACAGGCAAACAGCCTATGACAAAATGCATATAGAAACGAAACAGAGGTAATGAAATGAATGGTGTGAAAGCCAGAAAGTATAAGATAAAGGTGTGCATTTTATATAATTCTAAAATATATTGTTTATGAGGAAGTATAATAGTGTGCCAAATAGCACTTTTCAGGAAACAAGTCTTCATTTCCCCCATGCTAAGACAAATGAATTGGCTTTTTTTTTTTTTTAAGTGAGAATACAGGCCTGGGAGATGGCAATGCAGATAAAGTGCTTGTAGTATAAGCATGAGGTTCTGAGTTCAAGCTTCCAGAAAGCAAGATGTAACATACACTTATAATTCCAACTCCAGAAAGGCAGAGGTTAGATGGTTTCCTGAGGCTCACTGGTCAGCTAGACTAGCCTACTTCTCAAGAACCAGGTCTGTGAGAGACCCTGTCTCAAAAAAGCAGAGTGAATAATGTCTGATGTACAACACCCAAAATTGCTTTCTACCTTCCATGTACAACCACACACACTTACATGCATGTGCATACACAGCAACATGTACACACACAGAATACAAAAGACCTATATTTTATCTGCAGGAAGGTCACTCTAATGCATATAAAGTTCTGTGTAATTTCTACAAGTGCTTGTAAAGTTCTTGAAAATTAAGCATATAATGTACCAAAAGTAAATTTCAATAAGTTCAGAAGCACAAATATGTATATTATTCTCTAAAAATAATGCCATAAAGTGAAGATGGATTTTAATAACAAAATAAAACCAGAAAGCAAAATTTGTCTTATGTCTTGAATTTTTGTTTTAAAACAACATTTAGCTAAAAGAGGAAAAATAAAATTGTAGGATATGTAAAAACATTTTAAACTCTGCATATGAGAATCTATTATTCTGGGAGAAGAGAATACCTAAGTCCCCGTTTCAATGAAAAATGAAATGTTGAAAATAAGCAAAAATACAGTTAAAAACCAAATAACCTATAAAGAAATTTACTACTTTCAGACAGGCAAGAATTAACATTAGGCAACAGAAAAATAAAACTAATAGATATTTTCCATCTTTAAGAATTAGATTAAGTGTCAGGGTATTTCAAATCTGGCCTACCATCTACTTCACATGGATCATAAGCTAAAACTGGTTCTTACACTTTTAAATGGGTGAGGAGTAAGATTAATATTTTGTGATCATGAGAATTTATTACTTTCACATTATATTCAAAACTTTATATTGAAATACAGAAACATTTTATACATTGTTTATAGTTTTTTGTATTTTAATAGTATAATTGTGAAAGAAATCATATGAAGTATGCTCATCCACTGTCTCTTAGCGCCCTGCAAGTCACAGTTAACGGCTATAACTTGGCAGCGTTTCTAGTGCTATGCATATTCACAAACAGCATTTCATTTTACTATCAAACTTAAGTTGTAATACCAATGAACACTCAATAAATCAAACAAAATCACAAAATCTGAATGACGTTTCTAAGGCACAGTTGTGTGTGGATTATTCTGTTAACCTAAACTAAGGTGATAAAGGATTGTGTTTACTAGGTAATGACATTATAAACCTCTGTTAACAAAATAGAGTATTAGTGATCACCAGACTAAGAAATCCTTACAACATTCCTGACATGAGCAACAATCATAACAGAATTTCTATACACAAAGAAAATTAAGGTGAAACAAAAGTTTGTTAGCCACACCAAAAAAATCCTTTACTAATTGTGAGTTAATTAAAATTACATTCTATTTCATTGCAGTAGTCAATGAATAGGTCAAAAAAAAAAATCCCACGCTTTTAGTGAAAACTATGGTTAGAAATGTTGACACTGGGAGCAGTATCAAGTAAGTCCAAACACAGAGTGAATGGTTGAGTGGTTTTGAGACAGGATAGAAAGGAACATGCATATGGACATGGGAAGGAAAAGAGTTCCTCACCTCAGAGTCTGGTTGAAGCCTAGTTAGGAGAGTCAAGAATTCCAACACATCATTCACTGTGGAAGTTGCCAACATAGTTGTTTTAGGATTTTGTTTGTTGTATTTTAATGTGTCTGGGTGGGAGTATTCATGCGCCCAGGCCAGAAGAGGGTACTAGAAATCCTGGAGCTGGAATGGTGGTAGTTGTCAGCATTGCAGCTGAACTTGGGTCCTCTCCAAGCACAGAAAAAAACTCTTAACTGCTGAGTCATCTCTTCTTCAGAGCCTATATAGGGATTTTTCAAATAAGAATGTTCAAATAGCAGTGAATCATTCTTAAGGTGTACCATCTTTTCAGCTATAAAATTACTTCTGGGTTGGGTGCGTTGGCACAACCTGTAATCCTAGCACTTGGGGAGGCACAGGCAAGCAGATCTCTATGAGTTCAAGGCCATCCTGCTCTGCAGAGCAAGCCCAGGACAGCCAAGGCTACACAGAGAAACCCTGTCTAGAAAAAAATAAAAAATAAAAATTACTTCCTGGAAATCTTTCAAGAAGGACATATATCTTTATACATCTGAATAACCCTTATCTGTTTTTATCTTATCAAATAAAAGCCCCTCCACTGCCATATCCTATAATTGTTAAAAAAAAAAAAAAAAAAAAAAGGAAGAAAAACGTTTTTAAACAATACTTGAGATGTAACCTGAAAGCAACTAAAATATGGCTACAACCAAACTATGACTACTGGTAAGACCCTCAATCATGAATCTTCCTTAGGAAGCCCACTCACACTTAGGTGTCTTATCCTTTCTGTGAGTTGGGTGCCTCTTTCAATTAGCCACCAAACTTAAATCAGTTTGGGGGGGGGGGGTTGTTTTTGTTTTCTTTAATGTCTCTTTAAGAAACCTCAACCCTGCTTCATACTGGCTTGTTCTGAAATTTTTTCTGCAGCAAAATCAAAGTACTTACTGGTTGGAGGTACTTCATTGGGGAGGGAACTTCTTGGGCTGCTCTGGGCTATGACTCTTATTATACTGCCACGAAGACCTGGTACATTTACACAATGAAATACTACTCAGCAATTCAAAACAAGGAAATCATGAAATTTGCAGGCAAATGGTGGCAAAGATCATCCTGAGTGAGGTATCCCAGAAGCAGAAAGATACACATGGTATATAAGTGGATATTAGACATATAATATAGCATTAATGTACTAAAACATAAACGTACTTGCTAAACAAGGAGGACCCTGGTAAGATGCCCAGTCCTCATCCAGAAAGGCAAACGGGATGGACATCTGAAAAGAGAGAAAGCAGGGAACGGGACAGGAGCCTATCATAGAGACTCTGAAAGACTCCCCTGCAGGGTATCAAAGCAGCTACCGAGATGCATAACCAAACTTTAGGCAGAGTGCAGGGAATCTTATGAAAGAAGGGGAGATAGAAAGAGCTGGAAAGGACAGGAACTCCACAAGGAGAGAGAGGAAAAAAAGTGGGCACAGGGATCTTTTCTGAGACTGATACTCCAACCAAGGACCAGGTATGGAGATAACCTAGAACCCCTGCACAGATGTAGCACATGGCAGTTCAGTATCCAAGTGGGTTTCTTAGGAAGGGGAACAGGGACTGTCTCTGACATGAACTCAGTGGCTGGCTCTTTGATCACCTACCCCTGAGGGGGAAGCAGCCTTACCAGGCCACAGAGGAAGACAATGCAGACAGTCCTGATGAGACCTGATAAGACTAGGGTAAGATGGAAGGGAAGGAGGACCTCCCCCATCAGTGGACTTGGGGAGGGACATGGGGAGAGAAGAGGGAGGGAGGATGATGGGCTTGGGAGAGGACGAGAGAGGGGGCTACAGTTGGGATATAAAGTGAATAAACTAATTAATTTAAACATAAATTTTTTAAAAAGGAAATTAAGAAACCCTTAGTTCCCACAAAAAAAAAAAAAAAAAAAAGCAGGAGAGAATGTTTTCAAAGACAGGACAACTGCTATTTCAGTACACACTGGTAAAATATATAAAACCCAGGGTTTTTCTCCTAGAGCAGCTCTGTGATGGGAAGGTGTTTAATCTCTCATAGTACCACCTTGTTGAATTTCCAAAATATTTTAACCTGTGCTATTCTGGTATGTGTCCAGTCACACCAACTGAACTCTTTTTGCAAACAACGAAGTTAATATTCTCATTGAAATCAAAACATTTTCATTATTATGATTTAATCCTTTAGGCAGCATGTAACATAACTCCTTGATCATCTATTTTTTTTTTTTTTTTAAAGAAATTACTTGAGACATGGTCTCACACTGTAGCCCAGGATGGCCTCCGGTTTCTTTTAAAATTTAGAGAGAGAGAGAGAGAGAGAGAGAGAGAGAGAGAGCGAGCGAGCACATGCTTATAGAGATCACGAATTGTGGTAGTTCTCTCCTACTGTGGGTTCGGGGGATCAGGCTCAGTTCCTCAAGCTTGGTGGCAAGTACCCTTACCTGCTAAGCTATCTCACCAGCTCTTAGGTTTCCTTCTTGAAAGATCCATTTACTTGGATTTCTATGTGCCCTTCTCTTTCTTACTATGTCTACAGCTACTTTCTCTTATAAGTCTCCTTCTCCCTCTAGTCGTTTCAGTTCTGATTCAGCCTTATTACTCTTCCTACATTCAGACTCCACCTTGTGGTTTTCACTGTCAAGTGAATCCAGACATTAGCCCATCCCTCTCTTTTGAACTCCGCTCTACTGGACTACAGCAGAATGTATCAGATCCTTCAGTCCCAATCTGACTTTATCTGTTTTCCCTCGATTGCATCCAAAATCTACTCCTTCTCGAATGTATTCTTTTTCAGCCTCAGAAACTGAGTTTCCAGATGAGAAACCTGTCACCCTCCTCGCTACCAAATCTTATTAATCACCAGGAAAACTGACTCTGTATCCTAAATCTTAAGATCGTTCATTTCTTTTATCCTATTACCCTATAATCCATCCTAACCAAAACTCACAAGGCCTGTCTCTAAATCCTTCCTGTTTGTCAAAAACAAAAATTAAAATTGTCAAAAGAAAAAAATCATAACATTCAGTTATAGATCTTAAAGCTTTTATCTGGAAAATATAAACCGGGGTACCCTTGAGTCTACAAAATAGCCATCCTACCAGACTGTGGCAGAACAATGGGTTTTTGTAAGATGGAAATGAAAGAAGAGAACAATTGTAGAAGTAAAGATTGGTTAGCAAAGGGTCAGTTTTTTGTTTTGTTCTAGGTGAAAACACAGACTTCCTTACTGTGCTTAATTCACCCAGACAGACTAAAATCTGTTTTTCATCAAAATAGATTTTGGGACTCTATTCTCTTGAAGTTTTACTCTGACTATATGGCATTTACCAAGCGTAACTGCATTTAGGCTTTGTCTATTCTGCTGGGGCCAAGGGCAGAAACTCAATCTCAACAATGGCCTCTCACAGCTTTGTAACAATTCAAAATAGTGTGTGAATGATCCCATATGAAAAGCTAACCGTTTCACTCAGATCAAAACCCTTTTGGTTCCTATAACCTTAGAAGAATTTAAATGGCATACCATGCTACAGAAGAGACTTCATAACCACCATCTCTCATTAACCAGTCCTTCCTCGTACACTCTGTGCTCTAGTCAACAAAAAACTCAGCTTCTCTAATGTGGTTTCTCCTGCTCTGGCCTCTATTTGTGTTGTTTCTCTCACTCCAGTCATATCAAAACTAAATGACTTCTTCAGCACTCAGTGTAAAATGACCCCGCCCCCACCCTGCCCCAGCTCTCATCCCTGCACTATCTCTGCTATCCTAACAAACCCATACCCAGTCAGAGACGTTCATAAATGGCCTGGCAACTAGA